GACGCAGGCATATCTGGCCATTTCTTCAGTGTAGTTCATGAGGTGGTGCTCCTGCTTGGCCTTCTCGTATTCGGCCAGAAGCCCCTTGCCCACCGGACCCTCCGGTACGAGGCAATGGCCAATGCCCTGCCAAGTGATGAGATGGCTCTGTGGAAAGGCACGTCGCGCCAGCTGGGCGCTTGTGTATGCAGTTCGAGGATCGTGCAAGTTCCCTACAATCACGGGCCTGATGCTGGCATCCCCCATGGGCGGCACTGGTCTTGCAGTTGCTGGCCAAGTGCTGATGGCCACGACCCAAGCCAACTGGAACGGCGTGGCGAGGGGTTGTGTCAACATGGACATCCGCCACCAACGAATGAAGGCCTCTTCATTCAGTCTACCGGCGGTGTCCGTGCCAAGAACCAGTGCATGGATACCCGAACGGAACCAGTCTTCGTCAAAAGATGTCTCATTTGAGGCGACCACCTGGTCCAACCAGTCGGAGTAGCCAAAGTCGTCGTCCGGCACGATGCTCTGTAGCCAATCTGGGCACCCAACGTCCCGCCCAGCTGAATGCTTCTCCACACAGGCAAACAAGACACTGGCGAACATGTCTGCAAGTTTGCCGTAAAACACCCGTTGCAGGAGTTGAAAAATTAAAGATGCCCGAGATGGATCGCTCGAATCTTGGATCAGGCTTAGAGCCTTGGACTCTGACAACGGCGCAGCGGGGCGGGGTTCTTCTGCGCTGCTGTCCATTGCAGACAGGTCACATGCGCGCGTTATGCCGTTCCATGTAGCCGTGATGGCTTTGATGAACAATGCCCCTCTTTCCTCCACATCTGGGAAGGGATCCAAGACACCGTCCAAGACCAGATGCTTCGCGTACTTCGCGAAGATCGTGCCATAAACCCCGGCAACTGCACTACCGTAGGATGCCCCGTAGATCGACATGTGAGGTGCCCCCACGGCACGCCGAAACTGGTCAATGTCTTGAGCCAGATCCATCGTACCACCAAATTGCAGAGCGTTGTACTCGCGACCGCTTGGTGACTGGAGCTTAAATCGCGGGGCATTGTAGCAAAGACCGTGCTCAAGTTTGAGCAACCGGTAATACCAGCGCACAAAAGTCTCGTTGAAGTGCTTCCCCGATGCCGTCGCCTGCAATCCCCCGAACTGGAGAATCGACTCCACGTACGGCGCGGCCTCACCAACAGCGCTCTCGGACACGTTGGCACCCAGCGTCAAGCCTGGTCGACGCCAAGGAGCGAGCTCGCGATCTCACTGCATTGCATCCGAGGAAAAGGAAGGATCGGCTCCCCCGTGCTGTAGTTGAAAGGACACGGCGGTGTAGTGATGTTCATGCTATGTCCTTCGGTGCCCACTCCGCGCTGGTCCACGGACCACCAGTCGAAGTCTTTGTGTCGGCTCTGGTTGCCTTCCCCGTTAATGTCAAAAGAACGACTGCTATCTGCAGCGCATTCGTTGCCGGAACCTGGGCCACCACAGTGGAACAGCAAGGGACCGTTCTTGGCAGGCTGCTCTGTTGCCGGAATTGCACGGACACGCAAGCAAACATAGGGCACCTCTTCATAAGGCAACATCGCCATGTCGTGCACTAGGGGTGTCTTCAGCCAGCCGAAGTAACTCTGAAGTCCATCCTTCGTCGATACTTGCTCATCCCACACCAGGACCTCAGGATCCGGGTTCCAAGAGGACCATCCTGCATCGACTCCCTCGTTGGAGACTTCCTCCTTTAGCCCTCGCAGCCGGCGGGCGGAAGGCTCGGAGTTTGGTCTCCCCTCCGCGGCCCCCGAACCGAAAAGGACCAGCACCAGGTAAGCAAAGTGTGCCATGGCAGCCGAGCACATGCCAGGGAGCCACAAAAACCGCGAATGGTTCCAGCCACAATCTCTGTTGCGCTGTAGAGATGTGTTGTCCGAGGACAACTACCACCTTGGCTTGCGGTTTTTGGTTTCGGGGTAGTGCCGACATCTCAATCCCTGCCAAACCAGCTGTTTGCTGGGAAGTACAACGCACGTCGGGAACACTCTTCTGGCACTACCCATCACACACCACAAGCCTGTGCCAAACATCCTCCCCATCGCACACTTTCGCAGCCATCCAGAGTTCCTGGGGCCTGCAAGCACCCTCCAGCCCTTCGAGCCCTGTCGAAAGCGACGAGTTGGACCTCAGACCGGCACATTGAAAGCTGACATCCAAACATCTCAACCCAGGAACGCTTTGGACCACGACATGTTTGCCGGCGCCTCCTAGCTCCAAAGAGCCTCAAATCTTCCATCTCTGGCTGAAGCCCAAAGCCCAAAACTCATCGAGCCTTCGGTGTAAAGGCGGATGAGAATGGACCCCATCTCCTGCATGAGCCACTGGGCCGACCTGAGACTGAGGGCTCTTCATCTAGCAAAGGGTCTTCATGTCCTATTTTGGAGGAAGGAGGTTTTCGGGGGGGGAGGTGGGGGGAAGCTGAAGGCTATGTGGGTCCGGGGGACTTCCAAGCTTGCAGCCGGTAAGTCTGACTCTGAGTCGCCCTCCTCCAACACATTGCGGCTTGCTCCGGAGCTGCTGCGGCTCCTGATTCCGTCCTTGTTGCTGCCTCTGTTGCTGTTGCCGTTCCTGTTGGAATCTAATGTTGATTTCAAAGCTGTTGCTGAAGAAAATGGTGCTGTCGGAGGAGAGGGAGGAGACGTGCGGTACTCATAGTAGTCGCAGAGCAGTCGTAGGAGGAGACGAGGAGGAGGACCCCAAGGGGCCAATGTTCAAAAACGCAGCGAAATACAGTGTTCCAACATCCGAATTCGCAAGTGTGCGACGATGGGGCTTAGGAGCCTGGTGGCAAGATGGGTTTGTAGGGACTTAGCGTTTTGGGACGTTGATCTGGAGCTTTGGGACGTTTGGGACGAAGGCAGGTCCAAGCAGCTGGACCATTCCTCGGTGGCCCAAACCAGCACCGAACCTCGCAGATCGCAGACACCAGTACCCCAGGTTGCAGCAGATCTGTCAGGGTCTGAAACCTTCCTCGAGGTACAGGATGTGCCTCCAGAATTGAGTGATGTTGCTAACTGTTGCTGTGCCTAGGCCCAGGCCAATAAGTCGCTAGGTCAAGCCGTCCGGACAGATGCTCAAAAAGTATGGAGGGAAAAAGCGACAGATATTGCAGATAGACGAAGCCGTGAGCAAGCCATCTACTTGTACCACTGCCGTTCTCTTTGTTCTGGAAACCTTGCTGATAAGGTCGGCCGTATGTGGAGGCAAGGAGCTGCTCTTCTGCTGCATTGAAGTCCGTGGCCAGGTCCTGGCCGGGTTGACTATGTTTTTTCAGGCTCTTTTGGAGCCGTCGCAGTCTGCCATGCGTTCGGGTCCGCTGGATTTCGCGTCCCCGGCAGCACCAAGTAAGCAGCATGCGCGGTCCGAGAACAGACCTTAACAGCAGCAGTTATTGACAACGGTGTTCAAGATTTCGGATGTAGACACGACCTCGACATCACGGAAGTATAGGAGACCCGGGCCATTGCGATTCTGCGCCTGCTGTGGTTGCGACTGTTGTCGTGAACCCCAAGCAAATTTCCTAAGTGCAGTGAAAACCCCGACTTGGGCTTTTCAAAAAGCCTGAGCACCCGCACTTCTGCTCAAGGCCTCTACGTCGATGAAACTCAAATTGATCCACCGCCACCAGCAAGAAGCAAACAGCCGGGGAGCCAGGAAGAAGGAAGGAATGGTTGGTGTCGAGGACAGCTCGGCAAGAAGCAGCTCCGATCCCGGCATGGCCTCTGTAGGGCTTTGGGTTTTAGAGCGTTTTGGGTGCTTGGGGTGCTCAGAGCGGGATTAAGGGTTTTCGGGCTTAGGGGTTAGAGTTTCGGGCATGGGGTCTCTGGAGCTGAAAGCTCTTCGGTTCCATAGTTTGGATTGCAAGGTCTGCCAGGGAAGTGCTGTGGGGTGGGGGGCCGTTCTGGGGGTTGGAGGTTTCGGTAATGAAAATTCCAGGTTGTGAAAGGGTTTTGCGCTTTGTTAGTCTTAAGGATACGTACATGTCCGTGGCATGTACTGCTGTCGGTTTCAGCGTAGTTTGACAGACCCATATCCTTGACAACAATAGGGCTTCCAAGGGCACTTCCTGGAGGTAGGTGCCATTTCACTGAGTGTGCACGCTCTTCTGTCCGACGTGGGCTGGCGGTGTTCCCTCCGCTAATACTGGACATCTCGTCGCCTCTTCCCTGGAGGTTGCTCTTGCCAAAGCTCTTGCGAAACAGAGGCAAGTACCTTCTTATGTCAAACAAGAAAGTGCCTGGCTGCCTGAGCTCTTTACCATGCACTCTGGTCCTCACTCCCTCCTGCATGCATCCGGTTTAGAGACAATGGTGAGAAAAGATTTCAGGCTTAGAGCAGAAACAATCCACGGGGGTGAGACGGCGCGCTTTCAGGCTTTGGGCTTAAGACTAAAACTCTACGGACTTTAACAGCGTGGCTCCTGCGGTGCAAAAAGGCGACTGGAATACTAGTGAGGCCACTCGATTCAGATTTCTCACCCCTAGCAAACATTCCAGCCAGTATACTGCACCGCAAACAATGCAGAGCTCAACAGACATGTGTGTAACACTCATTGGTGCGGGAGGGTCGTGGAGACCCCCGCCTGCCGCAGCAAACGCTGAGCATCCGTCGGGGAAGGTTCCTGCAGGTGACACGGTGATGTTGTGAAGGTTCAAAGCTTGGAGCAGAGGTTTTGCTTGGGTTTGAAGGTGGGATACATGCTGGCCGGAAAGGGAAACCCCTAACCCCTAAACCCTGAATCCTAAATCCTAAACCCTAAACCCTAAACCCTAAACAAGCATCGACAAAATCGCGGCAATCTGAGTCATGTGAGTATGGGCCTGGTTCAGAGGTTGGGGTTTATAAAGTGTCGGGATGTAGGGCTCCAGGGCTTTACGGCTCGATTTACGCTTTCCTTGCGGGACCGTGTCTTTTTGTTCGAAACACCCGAACCCGAAACCCGTTCAGCTCCTTGTCTGGATTGCAGAGAGCACATAAACATGTTTTTCATCTTTGAAACGTCAAAATCAAAACACTGCAGAGGCTTTCGTCTTCCGCTGACTTTGCATCCTAAGTTGACCAAACTCGCAACACTAAACCGCCCACATGCCCCGCCTTGGACACGAGCAGGAGACGCGTGAGATGTCTCAGGGTCAGGAGCATGCCTGGTGAACTCTTGGGATTTAGGACAGTTGTGATGCAAGGCTTGCACCGCGCAGAGGCTTCGTTCTTGATCAGGATCCCCCGAAAGATGTGGCAGGAACATGAGCGGCTGCTCCATTCGGGTTTGTGGTTGGGGCCTCCACCGTTCAGTTCTAAACCTCAAAGGAAGAGTTCAGGCGTAAGTACGGTTCAGGACTCGCTTTGCCTAAACTGGGAGCTGCGTGGCACAGGTTTCACGGTTTCGAATGCCGGGTTTAGGTCGGTCGGGCCTTCTCAGTGGTCTCATGCCTTCTTACGCTTGTGCTTGGTGCCCGCTTCAGACCTGACCAACCGTATGCCTCGGCCTTCTAAGATTACGATGGAACTGAAGTTGGGGTCTCGCTCGGCTCAGGGTTTTGGGATTTTGAGTTGAAGGGGTTTCGGGTGCTGACTAAAGGGCCATCCTTCAATTCAAAAACTGCCATAGTAGCATTAGCTTCGTCTTAGTATACCTGCTGCCCTGCGTGCACCGACCCGCCCCAGCCTCGATCCGGAGCAGGAATGCCACCTGGACAGGAGCCGAATCGGGGCCCGTAGAGCTCTGAACCCTTGCGTTCGGCTGGAGCCCTGCAGCTCCAAACCTTGAATCCGGTACCCTTCTGCCAGAGCTACCGGCGGTAGCATCGCCAGCACTACTCACTTGTCTTAGTAGTCGTCGTTGTTACCATCGTAATTAGCGCAATTGTTTCCGGATGGCTACGACTACTAAACGCGCGATTATCAGTACGCTAGATTTCGTTGCTTGTAGTAGTGTTGGTACTGTGCCTTGCTACTCATGACTCATAAAACACATCGTCGACACTAGAAGGAATAGGATGAGAACCCTGGTGCTCGTCATGTCAGTGAGTATCATCGTAGGAGTTCTGACGGCACTCATAGAATGATTTCTAGTGGCGGTGATCAAGCCAGGAAGAAGATGAGTTAAACTGCGCTTCATCCCAAGTCAATCAATCTGGTCAACGTCAAACCGAAATCCTAAATGCTGAACCTTGCACCGTTAAACTGAACCTGAAACCCTAAATAAAATTGAAACCTAAAGCCTGAATGCCAAATCCCAACACCCGAACCCCTCATACCCTCTACCCGCTACCCCAAAGACTAAACCATAATCAGGCTGCCACAACAACACCTTAACCGTAAACTGCCCCAAACCCTCACACCCTTAAAACCGGAAATCCTCACACTCTACAACCCTGCAACCCAAAAATCAACCCTCGCACCCTCGCACGCCAAAGCCGTAAAACCAAACCCTCACACCCCTAAAACCCTCAAACCCCGAAACCCTGCCTGAAACTCTAAAGCGTTGAACATAAAGCCTAAAACCCTCACACCCTAAAACACCCAAGCCCAAAAATTCAAAAGAGACCCTAAAGCCCTCACGCCCTAGAACCCTAGAGCCCGTCAAAAGGTAAACACGAAACCCTGAAACGCTCTACTCGTCACGGCTGCTAGGCCATCCCAATGGCCTGAAACGTCGGTGTGCGCCAAAGCTTCCAAGTTGGGGGTGCGACCTCCCCAGCGTCTTACGACTCAGGGTGCGGATGGGGGGGAGGGGGGGCAGGTGCTCGGGTAGTGGGTTGTTAGGGTCCTTATAATAAGGTGCTTGGGTTTCGGACTTTAGGGTGTCTGCAAGGTGCGGAACTTGTAGGGTTTGGGGTGTAGTGTGTGCTGGTAGGTTTTCGTTTGGGTCTATGGGCCTCTTTGTTGTTCCGGCTGTTCTGGAGTCAGGGCTTAGGGTCTGGAGCTTCGTGTCTAGAGTGGCCCTGTTTTGGAGTCATGATGCCGGCAAAGGTTTTGAGAAACTTTTGCCGGTCTTCACAAGCCGTGTCAATGCGGGATCCTCCTGACCGAACACATCGCCAGTGATCTTCCTTTGGGAAGCACATCACCAAAAAAAACATGAAGTCACACACCACAAAAGTCGATGGAACCGGGCCTTACTTTTCACTTCGATGTATGTGAGCCTCAGATTTAGTTCAGGATTCTCAGAAACATCGTGGCCACTGGGCCGCAGGCAGAGAAGCCCCCCTCCCAGTTGCAGATGCGGCCTCTCCTAGAAAGCTTTGAAGTCAGTCTGGAACGAACTGCTTCAGCCTTTTAGCCTCTGAGTCCGGACCCACAAAACCCCAGCACCTGTAACCCGAAGCCTCAAGCCCTAAACTCAAAAGCGAAGGACTGCACACCCCCAGGTCAGGACCAAAACTCTCACAACCCTGGGCCCTCTCTCGCTATGAAGTCGTGCCTCGATGTCCCCAGTGCTCACCCATCGCGTAGTAGAGCCCCGCAAAGAAGTCGGGTGAAAGCAGCTGGCTATATGCCGGTATCCTGGCTGCTGTGGATTCAGGAATTTCAAGCCTTTGCTGCTCCTCGTAGGTTGGTGGTTAGGGCTTACCTCATCCCGAAATTGCTTTGGACCCAACACCTCCAAACCATGAATCCCAAGCCCACACCCCCCTCACACAGTACCCCCAAATTACAAACTAATTGCTTTACGAAATCTTGTGCCCCTAACCAAACCGGATTTGCGGCGTAAGGCTTGGGGTGTTTTTGCTTAACGGATTTCGGCCCCTTATACGCTCCCAGATGGTTCCTGGAGATTATAGATATCACAAGGGCTTTCAGGCCTCTTGTCGGGTTCTACGGAAGGATGAGGTTTCGGGCTTGGGGTTTCGGGTTTCTGGTTCGAGGCCTCGCGTTTGCAGTGTGGTTCAGTGCCTCGCATTGTACCCTGAAGTTGCTTTTCTTGCAGCTCATGCAGCCGCGGTGCTCCAACTTCCGGGCAAGGCCCACGATCAGCTGGAAGGACTGGCAAGTGACGATGGTCTTTCCAAACAGCACAACTATCATTGGTCATAAGAAGGCTTCAAGGATGCATTCGGCAATCGATTGCCTCTGCTTGACATTATACTGCTACGACCCGCCTTTAAAACCTGAACCCTGAACCTTCGTTGGAGAACTTGGGGGACTTGTGAGGGCTGCTGCAACTTTAGCTGGTCTTGCATCTTCCGGATTGCGCGTTCAGGGCGAGATTGAACCTGGAACACGAGCGTGTCCGGACAGGCGTGCTCGCACATTGGACATACGAGCCGGTGAAGGTCCGAGGCATCGCCAAAACAGGAACGGAGAGAGGCTCACGTAACACCAGCACAAAAATCAGTCGACCTGCTGAGCACGGCACAGACAGGTGGCATCGCACCACAGCTTAGAGATGGCCAAGGCCGAATCCATCAGCTTCGGACATCGTGAACCTCATTCCTCCTCGCTGAATCCACACAGGCAATGCCGAAATATTCAAATTTACTAGCAGGAGAATACTGGAGCCACAGATCATATCCTAAGTCCAAAAGCCTAAACCTGAAACCCTCCAGCACGAAGCCACGGATTCGTTCTGAATCCTTGAACCCAGACACCCCAAACCACCTCGCCTCCATGATTTCATTCCCCGCAAGAATGAGAGGCCCATACCTGCTTTAGGGCTCTGTGGTTTGAGTGTAAAACTTAAGATTCGGCAGTCAGAGCCCTGAGGGTGTTCTCATAACGTTTAGGTTCAGGTTTGGTTTCAGGTACGTACGTAGAGTGCGTTTCTAGGACAGGCCGTTTGAGAACTGCCCCCCCCCCCCTCCGTCCACCTACCCCTCTCCAAGCCCCACACTTGGAGTGCTGCAAGAAAGTCCCTTTAGCAGCAACTTTGAGGCCTTCAACACTGAGAACAAACGCCCTAAAATCCTAAACAAAAGTACTAAACTTTATTTCAACCTGCGATGGACCTTATGCAAAGGAGGAGCAGGAGGAGGAAAAAACATGGGGACACAAGAATAAGCGTCCTACAATGAATAATGGTTGCATTTTGGCCAAAGGCATAATGGCAACGACAAGAACAGCACCACCAGCAAGCTCCGGAAGACGGTAATCTCGAGTTCTGACATCTGAAAAATGTTACAGAATGTGGGCAGGCATGGTTGCTTTTATGTACAGATAACAAGAGTCTTCCAAGTTTTTGAAGTAAATCCATTGAGAAGGAACCTACTCGATATGTATGTGCATGAATGTATGTGCCGGCTTATTCATGTGGTCTGTTCTCTTTCTCTCTCGCTCTCTCTCTCGTGCCCAGGGTCTCTTTCTAAAAATGTAGAATATTTAGATAGATCATTGCACAAGCCGGCCCAAACCCTGAATCGGTATCCTCGGTATCCTAATCAATCCCTGCGACCCAATTGAATCCGCAAGGCCCATGCCAGGACCAACAGCCCGCGTGGCCTGACCAAGTAGTATCCAGCCTTGATCGCCTGGCAGGATGGGGTCCGAACCCACACAAAACGTGAGCACCTGGAACACCGAAAGCCCGAGATCAGGCAAAGTCGAGATTGAGTTCAGGGCCTGGCCTCGAACTGACGGGGTCTCTCTGGCTTCAGGTTTAGGGCGTCAGGTTCACACTTAAGACATCAAGCCTAAACCCCCAAGCCATTCACAGGATTTACGCTGATACGGTTCTGATATTTTGGAAAAATTCCGGGGTTCACAGGTTCACACAACCTCGATGATGTGCTTGTGACCCCCTGCTCGGCACCAACAGATCGGAAGAGGCTTTCGATGTTGGGTGGAGCTCTTGGTCTGAAGTGACCACTGAAGCCAGACGTGGTACAACAAACTCGGCATGCTACAACTCACCAGACGACTCAACAAACCCCGAGCCGAGCCTGAAATCGACTCTCGCAATCTCTTATGTGGCTAAACGGCTAGATCGTGGCGAAAAGGGGGCGCAGCAGCCCGGATGGAACAGCTTGGGTGATTGCACGACATGTGCAATGCAGAAGTCAACTTGCGTGTACAGGCTACAAGGACCATGCACAAGCATGTGAGAGAGACGGGCGCACTGATAAGCCCAACCCAAGCCTGAACCTTGAGCTAAACTCCGAGCCTCAATCCCTAAAAACTCGTAAAGCCGAAACAACTCCAGCCTCAACGGTCTGCTGAAGAAGCTACCTAAGCCCGAAAAAGCCGACATCCTGAACTGTAAACCATAAACCCAAAACAAAACTCTTTCGAACCCTGATCGTAATGCTGATAGAGACCATAAAGAGCCCCAAAAACCTCGAACTCGAAACTCTCGGAGGTTGGAGAGAAGACCCAGGCCTGCGCCACCTGGCCCAGAGGAAGGAAGCCGGAGACCTGCTTCAGGCCTCGTAGCTCAGTCTCCGGCTTAGCCCAGAAACTCTGAAGCGATTTAACGGTGGGGGATGGCGGGGGGGCTCAGGGCTCGGAAACTTTTTGGTGGGCTTCAGCTGCATGGGGCCTAGAGCTCACCCTTACCCAACAAGCTCACCCCCGAACCCCTCCCTGAACACCCCAAAAAGGTTTGGCTCATGAAGGCCCCGGCCGGTCATCACGTGGCCACTGAGTCGCAGCGACTGATCCAGCTTGCTCCTTAGACTCCGGAAGTTAAGGCTTTCGGGTAGCGGTTAGGGTTGATGGAGGCTTTCGGATTCGGCCTAGGTTTTTCAGAGAGTTAGGTCCGGTCTTTCGGTAAAGAACGCCTCGGGGCGTAGAGTCCGGGACCCATGCTCCAACAGCCTAAACCAGCGAAACACAATGGCTTGCATGGTGTAACCTGATTCCTGAATCGTCAGCCTACAGTCTGGCTTAAATCAGTTCACTCGTGACCTCAAGCTAGCTACAAGCCCAACTCCAAAGAAAGGCTTGGGAGGATTTTGCGCTGAAGGCTCGGTTTGGGCGTCATCCACTCCCTGCTGAGCGAGTCTTAATGTCTTGCCCCCTGAGGTATGAATCTTCCCAACAACCTTCTCCGTCCGAAAGCCCTGGCAAAACTACACCCTGACCCCCCTAAAAACCCCAGAGCCCCTAGACCGCCTACTCAACTCTAAACCCGAAACCCCCCACCAGAAAAGCACAAAAGAAGTGTTTAGGGCCTCAAAGCTCTCTCGAAAGCCCAGCGAGAAAGCTTTGCTCTCCGAGCGGCTCCGGGTCGTAGCTGAAGGGCTCCAATTGGTCGACGAGGAAGGCCTGGCGCTTTCTGGCCCGAGATTAGACCACTGAACGAGCATAGCCCTCGAGACAGTTCCAAATACACCCAAAATACCAAAGATTCAGAGCTATTCCAAAGGGCCTTTCTCGAGACAGTCCCACAAAAAACAAAAATGCCCAAACCCGAAGGCTAAAACATCCTCGAGACAGCCCCAAAAAAACAAAAAACAAAGAGTTGGAGCTATTCCGGAAACCATTTCAGAGCAGCTTGGAATCGTTGGTTTGGCGGAATATATCTCGAACCGATTTCAGGCGGGTTCTACAGCAATGGCATGCTGACCGTCAGGCGTGCACTTTTGCTGTTTCCATGCACCCACCACCGGAATTGTCCGCACTGGTGTCGAAAAATCGACCCCTGCCCCCACCCTGCATGTGGATTCCGCTTTTGCTCCCCTTGTTCCCCTGGTTCTGCAGTCAGACCTACCACAGAGGTGCTTCTTCCGTTCGTGCCATAAACCTCTCGGCCGTCAGGCGAGCCTCAAACACTCACAACTGAAAGCCACCCCGTTGTCCGACCGAACACAACAGAGTCCAAGATATACCTTTGAACTTGAAAGGGGTCGGCTGCGGAAAAGAGCGCACAGTGTGGCACTCTCAAGCCTGAGCCGCGTCGGACGAAACAGGATTCAAAATTCAAACGATGGGGCATGAGGCCGGTATGACAAGGTGCAGCTTCTGTGTCGATCTCAAACCTCAGACCTTCTATCAGAAATCACTTCTCGAAATCCGCCCCAAGAGCCCCAAACCGTTGGCAAATGAGTTTGGATGCCGAGCCCGAACCAAATCCCCCCTCTCAGCCTCTATCCGCACGGTGCGCATCTGGACATTAGCGTCACAGACCCTGTGTCAGCGCGAGGTCATGAGGTGGGATTCCATTTCAAGATAATTCAAGCGTCCAGGCTTGGATGGCAGAAGGCGTTACAAAAAAGGCTCGCATGTGTAGGTTCGCCTCCGCATGTGCCCTCGGAAGCATTTGGGGTCTGCGGGGTGCCTAGTTGATAAGATGTCGAGCTGGAGCTGTGTAAAGGTACAACGACCCGGACGTCAAATGAATAGTAGCTTCAACCATCCAGGCTCGTGTGGTATCTGTACGGAGCCTTTTCTGGTCAATGCACGTTGGGTAGCAACACGGATCAGTTTCATGCAGAGCGCTCTTCGCCATCACCATCACCACAACCACCATCTTCCTCATGACGGTGATCGCCATCATCATGAAGACACCAGAAACAATAGCGGCAAATGACCAAAATGATAACCACCGTGATAGCAGCAATAGCAGTGTGGGAAGAGTGCCTGCTCGTCATGGCCAGCAAGCACGAACTATAGGACCACACAAAAAGCAACAGCAATAGCAAGCGTATTGCATATAAGTCATATATAAGTGCTCACAGTATACTCCTACTGCAGCATTCAGAACAGCCGTACTGGCCACTATTGGAGTAGTCGTTGTAAGGGTGGTACTGAGACGGCGCACATATGCAACCTTGGAAAACATAAACGAATACGTTCTAACACATGTGCTCACATAGTTTACAGTTCCTTGTGTACGTTTGCATATCATATATGTATGTCTGCAGATGCAAGCAGTGCGCATGTCGTATCTCTGCGTGTTTGTATGGCAAGCTATGCTATGCTACGCTAGGCTACGCTACCATATGCCACGCTGGGTTAGGTTAGGCTAGGTTAGGTTATGGTATGCATGCATACGTGTAGAGACATGAACACATAAATACGTACACATAAAAGCACATTTGACATGTGTTTGCGCGGGACACAAACATGTACAAAATTGTATGTATCTGCTGGCATACCAATATACGTATCTTCCAAGCTCTTCTCATGTAAAATATTTCCGCAACAATCACAACTGACCTACAGCAATGCACGACGGGTCGTATGTTTTCCTTCCTGTGCACGGGCCTGTGGCCGACGGGGTCGTCCAAGGATTGCCGCATTTGCGACACACTTGCATTAGCCCACCAAGTCAAGATTACACAAGTCTAGGACGCGGAGGCCCTTGCTTGCGGCACGAAGGCCCACAATCTCGACCCCCCTTGTAGAACAATGGGGAGGGCGGGCGGGTGTGAAAAATTATTATGCCCGAGTGCCCACATGTGTCATGCAATACGAAGCAAGCCTAAGCGACACGACGGCCGCAAGCGCATGATCACATGTCACTGCTGAGCACTCGAAGGCCGCAGCACATCATATAATCTCAGCGCCCAATCACACAAAACGTTCAAGCTTCAACTTGCCAAAATCTCGGTCACATAACAACTGTTATGCAACGTAAATCTCAAGTTCACACAAAACTTTATGCGCACATGCGAGGTACCACGTACAATGCAAAGCGCATCCACGCGAGGACGCGCGCCCCCGTCCTCACAGCACACACCCACCCAGCTACGCGCCCCGCCGCTAGAACCTGCGGTGAGGGGAGCCATCTCGCCGCGGGAGCGCAATCGCGGGACACAAACATATAACAAAATTATATGTCTGCTGGCATACCAATATAAGTAATGCATCTGTTACATACGTTCACAAACGTTTGTTCACCCACCTACCCACCTACCTACCTACCTACTTACCTACTTGCCTACCTCCCTGCCTGACCTGCCTGACCTGCCCAGATACATGTACCCATTCCCACCTACTGTGGTACATACACACATGCATGCATGCTTGCATACATTTCCTGCATGCATGCTTGCATGCATGCCTACATAAGTAAATACGTACGAAAATACACACATACATACATACGTACGTAGATACATACAAACATACATACGTCTGTATGTATACATATACAGATGTCCACATGCATAATGCATAATGGCATAGTGCTTTGTTTGTGCATCTGCGGGGCTGCGTGGGTGGGGGCCCCTGGATGGGTGGGCGAGTGTTTGTCTAGTCTTCACTGGGCATTTTGCTTGTATGCAAGTATATACGTACCGTACGTATTTTCGTAGTATACTTGCATACTTGCACATATTTGGTCACATCACACACACACACACTTCCAGCCCTTTTCCCTGGCCTCTTCTTCAGCAGGGGTACGCAGCCCTGGCAGAGCTTCAGCGGCCGCCTCTGGCTCACGGAGGGAATGGGAGTTAGCACGTTAGGGGGGGGGCGACGCAGCCTTACAAAGAATCCCTTGGTCGCTTCATGACGGTCTGTATATCCAAGAAGCTTCAACAAATTCGAATCTGCCAAATCCTCATCGACACCAGGGTACCCCTCATACGCTCGAGCCTAAAACGGCCCTACACTCCGAAACTCCGCTTCTGGGAGGAGCGTGGGCCGCAATTTCGAAAACCATCCGCAACATGAGGTTTCGAGGCCGGCGCACAGTGAAACCCCAAACCGGCCGAAGCCTAAACCCAGGTTTTTCTGCGACTCAGGCCAAGGGACTTTGCTGCCGAAGGCCCAGGAAGGCTAGGCAGCATCACCACGCAGTCCCAGCAGCACAGCTGTCGGCCTCCGCTGGGCTTGAAACCCTCGGTTCCGGGCTCAGGGTCCTGGTCTTGAGAATGCCGGAGCTTCCGGCTCGGGTTCTGGAGCTGAGGGCTTGGGTCCAGCTCCGAGGACCCAGGGAGGGAGGGTCAATTACGCAATCATGTCCTGCAGAACTGTAGTGCCACGAAACAGGAAACAGGAAATCATGTACTGCTCAGACTGGTGGTAATGTTGGCAGTCGAAATCATCGACATGGTAGCAGAAACAGCAGGAACGGCAGCAGGGGTAATTATTCTGGATTGCGATCAGGGAGGCAAAGTCAGCAATAACAACAACACGACAATCATGACCATCAAGTTATCACAGGCTTCACCACTGGACAAAGCGAACATCGGACCACTGTCAACGTCGTCACCATCTTCATCTGCCTCATCATCATCATCATCACCATGCTTATCTTTGCGTCATGGTGCTCATCCCAAAGCGTGCAGCATGTTGCTCTGAACAATCGACTTCAAGCTGCTGGACTCCGAAACCGGAAGCCCTCAAGCCTGCATAAACCTTACCTTCCCTAAGCCTTGGACCTCAGAAGAAGAGGCGTGTATTGAGAATCTTGGGCTCTCGTGCTTAGAGTTGCAGTTCTACACCGCACATCCACACCCTAGCTCTAAGGCTGCCAAGCTGCACTCCGCGCAGTCGTACATGGTGGCGCGAATGCATTCTTTCGCACAGTGCACGCCTCACATTGCGCTTGCTGGTTTCCTATGCCTTGAAGCCTGAAAAGTAAACTCCAAACCGACCAAGCACAGTCCGACCAGGAGGTCTTCAGGATATGATTTCTTGTACTCTGTATTTTGCGCAGGGGTCTCAGAAACACCTTACACCGAGACCCGCTAGCGCCGACGAGTGGCAAGCTTCATACTCCACTTAGCAACGGAATGTAAGGCTCGAAACGCAAATCCAACCTGTGTGCTTTATGTTACATGATGGATACTCTACAATCTTAAATGCTGAAGCTTCTGGCAATGCTGAAAACTTGCAAAACGCAGGAGTTAAACTTCCGATGAACAACGGGTGTTGCTTCAAAGCTCAGTGTTGAGGGATGAGAGCCCAACGAGTGAATTTGGTCAGGACATCCTGCCCAGCCGTACATGTCCCACACAATTCATGATGCTGTTGGGGAGAGTTTCTACAGTGTTCCGATGCACCATTCGAGGACACGGCAGCCAGTTGTTGCTTCCGGGTTTAGCGTCTGAGTGTGTAACTGGTGCGAGCTCCTGGAATCCGATTTTACGTCTTACATGCGTGCTTTCTGTTTCTGAGTCAGAAACTACCTGAGACTGGTCACACAAACCGAGGTGACTTCAAAAGAGCCAGGTAGCATTGCCGCTTCGTGGTGTCCTGAACCCCACCCAATGTTGAGGCAAAACAGGCCAGAATGGAGCTTATCCGAATAAGCACTGCAGCTCTCTAAATCTAGCCCTAGGCTTCACCATCCATTTGGCGCCATCTTTCTCACG